GCGGTTTGGGTCAACCGGCCCGACACTGTAGAGGGCCGGTTCCCGGGCCTTGATTTTGATGAACTGGTCCGGACGATTCGGGCCCGGTTCGGACCATTTTTTTTTGTTTTTCACATTCTTTTAAAGGGAAATGGATTGGGTTGGGTGTTTTGGAGGGGTTTGGGGTGTGGGGGAGGGGTGGGGGGTAGGAAGTAATTAGAAAATAAAAAAAATAGGGTGAACCGGCCCGTCCCAGCCCGTGAACCGGCCTGACCCGGGTCCGGAGCAACCCGGGCCGGTTCCCGGGCCTAACTTTTCCCAAAAACCCCCGATCCAAACCGAACCGAACCGAGGCCCGGCCCGGCCCGAACCGAGTTCACAAAAAGTCAAGTCATGTATATATGAAGTTTGTAAAGTTTTCATTTTTTTAAATTTGCTAGTTTAGACATGGGCCCGTTCTAAGATTTGTAAAATCAGCTGCTTCAAATAATGCCATGTAATTTATAAATTTTCAGATGGATCGATGACACACAATGTTTATACTTGAATTGAAATTTTATGATCCGATCTGATCTGATGTGATTTGTTTAAGTCAGTTTTGGTGTGATCTAATCTAGTCCGGTAAATGTCTGGTTTATGTGTATTTTATAATTCAAGTGAAGGCATTCTAATTACTAGAATGTATCATTATAGGGAAAATGCACTAGAAAAGCTTGCCCCTTACATGCAACTTTTCCAAGAAAATACGGAGAATTCTAGACATGACTAATAATATTTGCCAGAAAAAATAATAACCGCCAAGTTTGAAGAGTAGTGCAATCTTTAAAGATTAATAATACCAAATCATGATAGTAATTACTCTTCTTTGTGGTAAATAAAAACATAATACTCATATTTTGAAATTCACAAACTTTCGCTCTATTTAGGTTAATTTCTTCAAAAGATGCATTTCGGTGAAAATGTTCATAACGAAGACAATTTTTTTAACCAACTGATGTTATTTATAATTAAGTACATTAAGTTACAATACTAATGACGGGTACAATCACAATTTATGATACTAAATGTGTATTTTTCTCTTTATGTTTATTAAATGTTCATGCTATTTTACTACTTCCATGTCCTACCACATTTTTCTAATTGTCCTTATTTATAACTCCCAAAATTAGTCATCCTCAAAATCTTTATCATTTTTAATGTAATAAATTTGTGATTAATATTATCTTCCTTTTCTTCTGTACTAATAATTTCAACCCCATAACTTTTATGTTCTTTGTTTACTTGCAAGTTATGTTTTGTGAACTTTTATGAGACTAGAGAAATTATTTAGATCAAACTTCAATAAAGTACTTGGGATAAAATTGTACTCCGTATTATCCTTCCTTCTTTAATAGTTGCAACCGTTTGACTTTCACGTTTGTCAGCACACAACTTTGCCTATAATTATGTTTAATTACGTATTAGTAAACATTACAAAAAGTTAAAATTTTCGAAATTCACATTAATATAAATTTAATAACATTTTATACATAACCATTTATATGTGTATGTTAGTAGAAAATCGTGATCAAAGTAAGGTGTGTAAATAATACAAAAATTACAATGTTGCAACCTTTAAGAAACGGAGGAAGTATAATATTACCCCGTGTAGCATGTAGGTTTTCACTTAAATTTAAATTTTAACAAACAAAAATACAGAACATAAATGATCAAGTTAGACTTGAGTATATAAAACAAAGCAAACCCGACCATGAATCAGAACAAACAAAACTAGACTAGACATACTTTTTTAAAGGAAACCATCAAACATTATTTAGGTTAAAGAGTTATTTGTCAATTGACAAGTAGGGGGTGTTTGGATATGATTCTTAAAAATGTTTCTGCTTATTCAGGGAGCAGAAGCAGAAGTTGGAGTATTTAGATGAAAGTGCAAAATTACTTTTGGTGTTCTAATTTACCCCTAGAAGCAATTTTTATAGAAGCTGGGAAATACCGGCCAGTTTCTGAAAACAGATTCTGATTCTGCTTTGAAAAAGAAACAGAAGCAGATTCCAAACACCTCCTAATACATCCCGGAGTGGAATCAAATATAACTATAAGGGCTCGTTTGGTTTAAGAAATGTTAGGTTACCCTGAGAATGTATGATTGTTGGGTATGTAAAATTGACGGGAATGTATTCAATATATTTGCATGTTTGTTTGGCTAAGATCAAGGGAATGTGACATTAATTTGATTGGTTAAATTATATCTTATTTGTAGATTTGATGAATTACTTTAATGCCCTTTAATATTTTCTCTTAACACAATGAATTTATTACAACCAACCTTTAAAGTAGTTTAAATTAAAGAGAAAAATGAAATATATTAATAATTAATAAAATCAAAACTAATCTGAAATTCATTCATAAAAAACATAAACAAGCTATAAGCCCTATGACATAAATACTTTTCAAAATTTAAATGTCAAGGAAAAAAATTATGAAAATAACAAGAATAGACATGAATATAATTTTTAAAAACACACTCTCTTCATCTCACTTAAAGGTTGTCACGCAATTTACGAAATTTGATTCATCATAAAGTTAACTGATCTTTGTTAATGAAAAATTATTTTTAGCGAATAAAATTACTAAAATTTTTAGCTCTGAAATTAAAAAAGGAAGAGTAAAAATGAAATTAAATGAGAAGATATAATTAATTGGATGGATATTCGAAAGAAAATTAAGCGATGTCCGGGAATGTCAAATAACCTAAGACATGAACGGGTTTAACATTCTTTCCATACTACTGTCACATCACATTTATGAGAATGTCACTTTCCACATTTTTCTCAACTCTGCTGTTGGGATATTGATCCAGAGGCTCAATACCCGGATCAGGAAGGCTCAAGATACCCGGCCCGAGCAACGGGCCCATCACATGATGATAGGATAATCATGGTAGAATTAATGCCGAACGAGAATTGGCCCAAATAAGGATTGACCCAGTAAGGAGACATACCGAACGGAGTTCGGACTATATATCATACTTGGGCCACTTTGACAGCATCTTCAGCATAGCCCAACATCCCGTTCGGGCAACGGCCAAACCGCAAGCGGCCAGGTGCAATTAATGCCAGACTGTGACATCAGCAAGTGGAAGCATGGATGACCAAGTCGGTGGAACGACGACCAATCAGCATAGGGCAGCCCATGCTCTCCATTAGTATAAATAGAAGGTTTCAAGTCATTGCAAGGGTTATCATTTCACTACTCAGGCTCTAGAATAACATCATTACTCTTATTTCTTGTATTAAAGCATAGTTTCCGACCTACCGATCAGGAAATTCCTTGTAATCAGACTGGTTAATTAATACAAGTGAGCTTTCGAGTGTTAGTTAGTTCAGATCTTATATTTTTTACACGCTTTGATTCTGTGTCATTCCTGATATATCCAAAGTTCGTGTTGGGCTTTCGGATCTACGGGACTTACCCTCAACATCTGCGAATCAAACATGAGTATCTAACATTTTGGGCCTTCATGTGAGATTATCCCAAACCAAACAATTCCTAAAAATAAAATATACATACCAATCAACATTATATCAAATCTTATTAGACCAAATTGTATCCCAGTACATGTGAACATGTCAATGTTTTTACTTGGAATGTTTTCAATCTCAGATCAGACACAGACCAAATCAGACCATATCAGACTTGGATAATTTTAAAATAAACAGAGACCAGACATTTATAAAATCAGACCATCAAATTTCAATCCAAGTAAAAACATCATATATCTAAAATTTTAGGCCAAATGAAAAACATCATGTTTTTTGTATGGGATATTCTAAATACACACACGTATTTACTAAACACAGCCCGCATATATCTTAATTCCTAATATATCCTCCTGACAATATCGGCACACATTTAGCTTCCGACAATACTGGCGGGCATGGAACGACTATGAACAACAACTCTAGTAGATGAAAACATAGCTTCTGACTAGCGACCTCCGATGGTGACGAAGGTAGTCCCAATCGCCGCCGAAATAGGAAAAAACTCTAGGGCTATGAAGTCCGACCATTAAACTATCAAGAAAATAACCTTAATTCATCCTTTTTTGCCGTTGTAACTTCATAGCAAAAGGTAAGCATTAAACTATCAAGAATCTGTTGGAGCTTTCCCATGAACAAATCAATAGATGAACAAGTATGCTTAATCTTATGTTCTCTGTTTTATTCCTCTGTTTTTCTTCTATCACACTGCAGGGGCGAACTGTTAGCCTTACAAAGAGTACTATGACCACCAAATCTTATGGAAAACTTGTGCCCATTACAAATGGTGTGCAACATTAGATTGAAGACTCAAGTAATTACTTTTCAAACTATCAGCGTAGTTACGTAACTGGGCAACCCAATGAACCCATGAATGCTATTGAGAAAAATGGCTTGATCAAACATGGACTGGATCTCTGGGTGTTACTCCCAAAACATACCATACAAGAATATTTAATAGGGTCTATATAGGTCGCCGCCATTAATTTTAAAGATCGCACTTGGGATCGTTATTACTAGCCATTGCAGCGAGAAGAAGAGACGATTTGGCTGTGTAAAGTTTGGGAGAATCACCATTGCTATTACTATCAAAAACAGGTGTTGCTACTTTCGCTAGGTTGCGGATTTTCCTTATCCCGTCTGCATGTTCGTCGAGATTCAAGAAGAAGATGTTCGAAAGCCCTGCAGTACAAATATTTGGCCGCCGATATTGTTATGCTGCCGCCGGTTCTATTACTGGTTTCGACGGAGATTGGGACTGCCGTCGTCGCCGTCGAAGGTAGCTGATCAGTAGCTGAGGTGTTGTCTACCGGGACTTAGTTGCTATTTGTTCCATGCCCCATGTCGGTATCGTCAGAAGCTAAGGTTGTGCAGGTATTGTTAGAAGGGTACATCAAGGGTACATCAGGAATTAAGATATATGCGGGCTGTGTTTAGTAAATAAGTGTGTGTGTTTAGGATTTCCCTTTTTGTATTTAAACACTTTCTAAAGCCCACCTATCGGGCATTTGGGCCGATACATTTCGGGCGACCAAATTTCTCAGCTATCGGGGGCTAGAGAGCCGAACCCAGAAGCCCGACGGAATGGGAGACAAAGGCGCTGCTGTCGCCGTTGCAATTCCACCGCCAACCTCCTCCACCACCGCCGATGAGGATGCGCTTCTTAAGCAATTCTTTGCCGAAGTCAGCGAGGTTGAGCGCGAAAACGAAGTCCACAGGTACCTCTCTTCTTTGGTCAAAATATTAGATTATTTTATCTCTTGCGTCTCTGCAAATTTTGTTCATTAAGATTACGGCGTGTTTGTGAGAAATAGATTCACATACACACTCCCTTTGGACCATGTTTATTAATGTGCTGGAAAAACAACATTATGTAATTGATCAATTAGCTTTTGTAATATAAAAAGAAAGTAAAGAACACATGAGCTTTGGTCAGCTTGATTTGTATCTGGCAATTTGGTCACTCTTGTGAAAATACTTTAAAAATTTGTTTTTTTTGCGTTATGGTCACTTATGCAGGCATAAAAATAAAAAGTCAATCAATTTCAACTTTTTAACTTATATAACTTGTAATAACACATTGAATTTTTGTGAGCCTTCTAGATTACACAATTTTGTATTTATAGTCTTCTTTTTCCTTACTAATTCGAATATTTCTCATTTAATTTATTATGAAACCATGTAATTTTCATTCTTGAATCCCTAAATTTATTAATGGTGTTATTGTTTTGTAGGATACTTTCATGCTTTAAATTGAATCCATTTGAGTATCTTAATCTATCATTTGATTCATCCCTAGATGATGTAAAACGACAATATCGCAAGGTATGTCGTATGTGCCCTCTAGGTTTTCCCTTTAATGATAAAAGTTCTCAATTCCTTTATAATTGGCCTAATGTACTATTGCAACTTATAATGTGCAGTTATCATTGCTTGTTCACCCAGATAAGTGCAAGCATCCGCAAGCAAAGGAAGCTTTTGGTGGTAAATCAGCGTTCTATTTTATCTAATTCCATAAAAATGTACTCGTAGGTATTCTCAAGTGAAAAGGCATCTTCTTTTTAGTGAGCCATGTCATAATCTGTGTTTGTAGATTAATGCCTCATTGAACTTTTACTGGCATCCTCAGTTGGTCTTTTATTTTTATTTGCAGCTTTAGCAAAAGCCCAACAATTATTACTTGATCCACCAGAGAGGGATTATATTCTGAACCAGGTTCATGCTGCAAAAGGTTTGGTTCTCCGCTTGTTCATAGATCTTAACTACTCTTATTTTTGTAACGTACGAAGTATATGCCTATATCTTCTTACATTGTATATACTGTCTTTTTGTGTGGAACTCAGAGGAACTAAAGTTAAAGTGGAAGAAGCAGGTTAAAAAAGACAATGCTGCTAAGTTAAAATCATTGGTTTCTGAGGTAACTATTTGATTTATAGTATTCTTTCTGGCTCATTTTATCTTTTTTATATATATTCATCTTTTTTATATTATCTTTTCATAATAGCTTATCTTTTTATCTTTATTCCTTCTTTTCCTTTTGGTTGTGATATCATGTATCGATTCATGTTAGCCGACCCTAATATCTTTTGGGACTAAGGCTTGGATGTTGTTGTTTCTGGCTCATTTTATGTTATCCTCCTCGTGCAACACAAGACTAGAGGCAGTTCAGTTTTTGTAATATTCAATTTTATATAATGTAATCTACATCACAAGTTCTTTAATTCAAGTAGTGACATGACGTATTGAATTTAATGTAATCTGCATGTAGTGATATAGTGTAATCTACATAAAAAGTTCTCTAATACAGGTACTAAGGTCTAAGGTAGTGAACTTAATGTAATGTAATCTACTTCAAAAGTTCTATAATGTAATCTACATCAAAACTTATATACAAGTAGTGATGTATCAAATTCAGCGTTTGAGTCAAATTAATATTTATAAAACTTTATAAACTTTTATAAATAAATCAATAAAATAGATGCATTTTGAGTTTTTGACCATGAGTATTAACTAGAAGAGGTAAAATGAGTCGAAAGGAGTTTTAAAATAGGGAAAAAAGGGTCAGTGAAGGGAGTGGGTACCTCTTGGTTGTCCTCTTTTGATTGTACTGTTAAAAATTGAGAGAAAGGGAGTATTAACCAAGTGGGGGGAAAGGGTCAGTGCGGACGGGAGACCTCTTGTGCTCTCTTATTTTACTGTTACACATTGCTCAAGCTCTGTGGCTCAAACCTTTGTCATATTTTTGTGGACCTGTGAGGTTTTTCCTGTGGCTAATTATAAACACAGTCATACTAGTTCTCATGCTTTCTTGGAAGTCTCTGTGCTATGCCATTCTAGCATTCTTTATGTAAAATTAGAGTGTTCTTCAGGAAACTGCTGGCTTAAATTAGTATTCACTACCTCACACTTGACAGATTACTAATACTATAATAGACTACTGTTTAGCACTGTAGTGGAATGTATAGCTCTTACTATAGTGCATTAGCACTGTGTGTTATTCATCTTTTGAAAAAACTCAATGACTAGAAAGGAATAGATAATGAAGCTATTGGGAACTTAACTTATTAGGATCAGAGACAATACCTAAGCACTTCATTTGCCATTGTGTTCCATTTACATTCTCCCGAGTGTAATTCTATAATAATAGAACTATAAACAACTGGCTATGAAATATTGATGAGTTATTGCCCTAAATAGGACTGAATCGTTGCTTAAATTCCTAAACAGGAGTAGGTATATTTTTATTCCCCAAATAGGAGGTTTGTTCCAAATTTGCCCTTCCTATTATAAATAATTGCCCCCCTAGTTCCCTTGCATAATCAAGGTCAATTCGTCGGTGGAGGCAACGGAGGAACTCTGGCGGTGATCCAGATCTGAAGTGGCAGCGGCTGCCAGATCTGCAGCTGCAGAAGCCGGTGACCGGCAGCGGCCAGATCTGCAGCGGCGGTATCTGGTAACTGGCAGCGGCCAGATCTGCAAGCGGCGGCGGCAGTAGGGATGGCCAAGCTTCAGGGGTATTTTTTTTCCATCTACATATAATAACTCCTATTTAGGGAATTTTTAAAGTTTACTCCTATTTGGCAATTTAGCTATAATTTATTCCTATTTGCGGAATCATCCCAATATTGATTTACAATTAGTTCCACTAAATGTAAAATTAGACAAGTAAGGACTATTTTTTATACTGATAACTACTGTGCAGTAGCAGAAATATAATATCAAAATATGGATATTGGACAAAAACGTCACTATTATTATGTTCAAATAGTACATCTTAGTGGCTATAAAAGTATACCTATAGTCACTTAAGTCACATTCTTGTTCATGCGAATTATTTTAGTTATAGTTTAGGAAAAACCTCGATAACTCCAGCCATTGCTGGTAGTCCAAGGTAGTAGCAGGTGCTATCGGCGGTGGTGCTGGACAAAAGTAATATTCGGTAACAGTAGTAGATGGTAGTCATCGATGTTGGTAGTGGTGGCAGATAGTAACAGCCGCCTCCAGTGACGCCGTACTACAGCATCTGCTGCTTGTGGCTGCGCAGGGGAGCGTGGTACTACATATACTTGTACTGTCATCAGTCGTGCACTAGCAATGTATACTATTTCCGACTTACCATTGTCCCTATCTGCTGCTGCGGCTGTGCAGTGGAGGGTGCTACTAATTATATTACTACTTGTCAACAGCCGTGCACTAGCAATGTATAGTTGTATACTTTTACCATTGTCCTCTGAGTAGGAAAGTGATGATTTTATGTTTATAAATTTATTCTGGTGTTGCTCTGTACTTTTTCCATAATAGTATTAATAACAAGCTTGTTGTTTGCATGCTTCTATGTAATCTATACTGTAACTGTATCCTCCAATTGCTCTTCTTTCTGTCTTATAAATCAAAGCAATTGTTCTAGTAAGTTGATTTTAAGGGCATCAGTATTTAGTTTGGTTTAGTCATTCATAAACAGCACTCACTATAAGTCTGTAATGCTAGGGAAACTCCGAACAAGAATATGAACGATCAGAAGCATTTCAGCAACAGCTAAAACTAAAGGTTCGAGAAATATTAACTGATCAAGAATGGCGGAGAAGGAAAATGCAGATGAGAGTACGTATCTTCTTCTATCCATGCTATATGTTCATAGTTATATCTTTCTACTTCTTTGACCTGAGTATTCTGTAATCCTGTTCAGATTTCTGAAGAGGAAGGTCGTTTAAAGAAGGACGAGGAAGAACAGAAAGAGATGTGGAAAAGGAAGCGTGAGCATGAGGAGCAGTGGGAAGGGACAAGGGAAAATAGGGTTAGTATTCCATGTATACTCACTCAGTTCCATTATAGTTTCATAATTGACTCGCTTTTTAAGAACAAAATTGTATGGTTGAAGTTTATTGAGCAGAAGGAGACATTATTAACCTTTCAATTTTTTCCTTCGGAAGCAAGAAGAATGTGTTGTTGGGATAATCCAAAATGGAAAACAGGAAGAAAGTTATGTGGCGTAAGGAGTATTTTAAAGGAGAGTCCATTAGTTTTATGGGGCTGAGCATAGTCACATAGTTTGCGGAACGCTTCGGTACAGGAACGAGGATCGGGAAAACGGTTCTCTAGGTCTAGCTTATCCTGTTCGGAGTGGGTTAGGCTCATTCCGGTATGCGTTTGGTACGATGTACCATATGTTCGGTACGTTGTACCTTATGTTTTGGTACTATAATAAAACAGAATTACAGATTTCATAACATTAAACAAAAACAAATCTCATAACATGATTTCATAACATTAAACAAAATAAAAAACATTAATATTCTTGAAACATTTGACGTCAAACTGAAAAACAGTACCACAAACATTAATTAAAACAGAAACTGGAGACTGGTGTAGATGACGCAGATCCAAACACTACTTCAGTGAAGACAACAAAGTCACAAACTGATTTGGATTTCTGAGGGAGAAGAGCAGAAGACTGGACTGGAGTGCTGGAGAGTAGAAGGCATATGAAATACAACATTTTTCACTCAATAAGGGTTAGAATGTCTAATCGATGAGTTGGATCAGAAAACGAAGAGGCTGGTTCGGAATCCGCGCGCCTGTACAATTGTCTGGATACGAAGAGACTGTACAAACCATTGATATCGCTGAGAAAATCGGTTGGGGATCAATCTGCAAATCGATTATGATCGAAATGAAACACGATTGAGATCGATTCTAAAAGGCGATTGGGATCGAGTAGACTAGTGTATGTAATCGCGATCCCGTTAGTGAATGGATCGCTTTCGTACCGCGATTGGGTACGAAACGATCGGTTCGCAGATTGTGCCTTCTGTTGCAATCTATGTAACTATGGGGCTGACAGTCCATTAAACGAAAGAATGGTTTACTTTTTGTTCCCTTATGTCAAGAATCACCTTAGAAAACCAAAGTTAAACAAATCTAGTGTATCCTACTCACAGGTAGTGTCTGAGGAGGGTTGAGATGTACCACAGTCCTTTGCTCCACTCTAAAAGAGTAGAGAGACGTTTCAATGTGAACAATAGTTTTTGTTTTTGTTTTCTAGTTTTACCTGATATTAAAATCTGAATCGTTCCACTAACCCTGATTGCTATTGTTGGTGTTATTATTACTATTACTACTACTATTATTATTACTATTATTATTATTATATTATTACATTACTACCTCCGTCCCACTAACATTGAGACGAGAATGTGGTGCGAACGTTAATAAAAGTGATTTATGTGGTTGATATTGAATTGATAAAGTAAGAATAAAATAAGAATGACTTATAACCACACAAACTTTACCAAATTTGGTACTCCCTCCGTCCCAAAAAATTCTTCCCACATTGACTTGACACGCAAATTAAGGAAGTGAGAGTAAAGTGGAAATGCATGGTTGTAGTTGTGTAAGAAAAAGGTAAAATGAATGTGAGCCACACAAATTGTCCAAAAATGGTAAGTGGGAATTTTTTTTGGGACAGCCCAAAAAGGAAAATTGGAAGAATTTTATGGGACAGAGGGAGTATATGGCAATCTTAGTGAGATGGATCGAAAAGGAAAGATAAGACACTTTTATCGGGACGGAGTATTACTTTATAATTTACAATATTGGTGTACTGAAAAGAGGGGTGGCCTTGCTATGAATGTTTCTTTTTTGCCAGGTATCAAGTTGGAGGGATTTTATGAAAGGTGGGAAAAAGGTGAAGAAAGGGGAGATTCGGCCTCCAAAGCTCAAAACCGAAGATCCAAACAAGTCTTATGTTCAGCGACCAGTGAAGAGAGGTTGAAGGCTGCTCCTCGTGCCGAATTAAAATTAGTTGTTTAATCCCATGTATCATCGTCATCGAAAATCTTTACTGTAACATAGATACTGCACACAAGATGGAGATATTGTTATGTCAACTTGTTACACATGTAAGAAATCCCCTTTCATTGCTATGTTACAACATCTCATAAGCCGTCTGAGTTTTCTCATGAAATGCTATCCTTAGGACATCTAATATTAGGGTGGACATTTTTGTTGGGTTTGGCATTGCTTGGTAATAATTTCTCCAGACTAAGCATGGACAAAATCCGGTTTCTGCCCGGTTCTGGTCCCGGGCTGGATGGTCCTGGGGCGGAGAAGGTTGAATCTGGACTGGCACATGTTCCTCTGGTTCTAGGCTGGTTTTGGTCCACTGTCCGGTCCTATTGCAACTTTCAAGACCGGTCTCGATCCAATCCTTGTTTGTATGATTTTTTAAATGTATTGGCATTAAGCTATTCAGTATTATTTTTATTATAGGGTCACTAATGCAATTGCAACTCCGAAGTAAATATATTTAGACATTGTTTATCTCAAATTCCAAATGATTACAAATAACGAAACACTAAATTAGTACAATACTACAATGATAGGCATAAGCCTTATTAAATATGAAAGCGGTGTATAATACGGAATACTTGAAAATTAAAAATTGAACACAAAAACACTTTTCATTGTAGGTGTGGGTGGTCGTGAATGCTTTGTACGGAAATGTTTGTGTAGGGTATAATAATTCATAATTGTCGTTCTCTTATTTTCCCAACAATCCCAAGCACAAAAACTTCTTGCAATGAAGGAATTCTGCATATACTTAGGGATAGGGGTGGATTCGGTTCGGGCCACCCGGCCCGTGACCCGGCCCGGCCCGGTACTGTGCGGGCCCGGGAACGACCCGGTCGGGCGGTCCGGGACCGGGTGTGGACCCGAACCGGTGGGAATGGGCGGGGCGGGCACGGTGCCGGATAAATGTGACCCGGCCCGGCTGGGTTGGGCCCGGGCCCGGGTCCGGGCGGTCTGATTTTTAATTTTTTTTTTTTGAATTGGGCTACTAGCCGTTGGGGGTGGGCTGGGGACAACCCAAACGGCTATATAGCCGTTGGGTGGGGTGCAGGGGGGTCCAGGGGGGTTGGGTGGTGGGGGTGGGGGGGGGGTAAAAAAACCTATAAATACTCCTAATCTTAAACATTTTTTCATCTCTTCTCCAATTCTTCCTAAATCCTATTCTTAACTCTCTACTCTCTAATTCTCTTATTCTCCATTCTCCAATATATTATATTTATTATTTATAGTTTATATTAATTATCTACTTATATAAACTATAAATAGATATAAATAGTATTATATTACTTATATTTGTTATCTAATTATATATTACTTATACATTTATTATATCTATTAATATAGTTGGAATTATATCTAATTAATTTGAAGTCATTCTATTACTCCCATCCGAAAGACCGAAAGTCCGAAAGAGGTACGAAATTATTCTATTATTTACACTTGTTTAATTACTAGTTAATTTGCTACATTTGACTCTAGTTTAATAAATATGTTGTACACAAAACTAGTTAATTCACTAGTTAATTTGCTATAACTCGAATTAATAGTTAGATAAATAGTTAATTACTTTTTTACAATTTTTTATTAATTGCTACATTTGACTCTAGTTTAAAAAATATGTTGTACACAAAACTAGTTAATTCACTAGTTAATTTGCTATAACTCGAATTAATAGTTAGATAAATAGTTAATTACTTTTTTACAATTTTTTATTAATTGCTACATTTGACTCTAGTTTAAAAAATATGTTGTACACAAAACTAGTTAATTCACTAGTTAATTTGCTATAACTCGAATTAATAGTTAGATAAATAGTTAATTACTTTTTTACAATTTTTTATTAATTGCTACATTTGACTCTAGTTTAAAAAATATGTTGTACACAAAACTAGTTAATTCACTACTTAATTTGCTATTACTCGAATTAATAGTTACATAAATAGTTAATTAGTTTTTACATTTTTTTATTAATCGCTACATTTTTTAGATGGATCGTCCTAGATATTCGGTTGATATGGGTAACCTCGAGCGCAACCGAACGAAAGAGCTTGCGAGGAAGAGATCCCGCAAAGGTAAATCACATATCGGCTCTTCATCTCAAAGTCGAGATGATTTTGATACGGGTTACGCAAGGAGGGATGGGGATGCGATGACCGACGAACAATTAGAACAAGAATTGCACCGACATAATTCCCGCTTTTTTCAAGACCAACCGAGGACCATTGACGAAGAAGAGCTCGAGGACGAGGACGACGATGTGGAGGAAGTAATTCCGGAGAGCCACGACGACGAGGAGGAGGAGGGTGGTGGCAGCCATGACGCCGACCAAGCAGTCTCATCCCAAACAGGTACAAAAAAAAGTAAATCTGAACTAATGGCTAATAATTTTTCTAAGTGGAAGGACCTGAACACTGGAAATTGGACCGCAACTTGCAATTGGTGCAAGAAAAACTATAGTTTGGGGATTTCCGGCGGATACGGATCCGCCACAAGACACCTTAAGTCCAAACACCCGGTGGAGTATGCAAAATTAGGCGGCGGAACGGGGAAGCAAACGCAAATATCGAGGTTTGCAAATAACCAACAAGCTTTTGGTAATTTCTCATACAATGATGCACAAAATTTGACAGGTATGACTAACTTACTTGTTGAAGAAAATTTGCCTTATTTGTTTTCTGAAAGTCTTGCTTTTCGTGATTATGCACAAACTTGTTTAAATCCGCAATATAGAGGTTATAGTCGCAAAACGGTTAAGAAAGAAATTTCAAGGCTTTATGGTGCGGAAAAGGTAAGGTTACAAAATTATTTTGCAAACTTTGATGGACGTGTTACTGTATGTTCTGACATATGGGAGAATACTTATCATAATTTAAATTATTTGGGTTTGACTGTACATTATAGTGATAATGATTGGCATATGCATAAACGTGTTCTTGCTTTCTGTGAATTTAATGATCGTCACACCGCTGAACATATTTATATTTTGATTGAACGTATTTTAATTGAGTATAATTTAATTGATAAGGTGTTTGCTATTGGTTTTGATAATGCTACTAATAATACTGCTGCTATTCCTAGATTGCGTGAATTGTGTGGTTCTACTTCTTTGATGTGTAGATTTTTTCATCAACGATGTGCATGTCATGTTCTAAATTTATGTGTGCAAGATGGTCTAAAAGCGTTGGGAGCATCGTTGGAGGTAGTCAAGGGGGGGATTAGACGTATTTGGGGTAATGGACAACTTAGGAAAAAATGGCATGATTATTTGATAGAAAGAGGTGAGAGATATGTGGCTTTTCCTAAAGATTTGTCTATTCGTTGGAATAGTACCTATAAGTTAATTGGAGTTCTTCTTAGATATAAACAACATTTTCCTGCTTTTATGAAACAATATGATAACTATATTATAAACTCGGCTGAGATCGACACCTGTGAAAAAATTTGTAATGCTTTGATATATTTTAATAATGCAACTGAAACTTTTAGTCATGTTTATAAACCTACCTCAAACCAATTTATTCGTGAAGCTGTTAATCTCGCCGGTGCTTTTTCAAATTTTGAGAATGCTGATTATGTGAGTTATTTTGCTAGTTTTATGAATGAAAAGTTTTTAAAATATTATTCACATGTTCCGCATATTTATGGTATTGCATTTGTTCTCGATCCTCGTTTTAGACTTGGTTCTTTAGAAGAATGTTTGAATTATTATTATGCTGCTTTTTTTGGTCCATTGCCAATGTATGAGGACAACCTAATTGATCCGAAAAAAGAATACAACGAGGTTAGTGATATATTTTATGCATTATTAAATGAGTTTCATGCACAATATGGCAGTGCGCCCCCTCCCCCGACACAAACATCATCTAAAGGAAAATCAATTTTCAAATCTACGTTTGCCAATCTTATTAAAAAAACGAAATCAACTCCCGCTACACAACAAAGCACAATTAATGAGATTTCTTTGTATTTAACTTATGATGTTGATTTTGAAGAAGATGATGATTTTGACGTACTAAACTGGTGGAAGAGAAAAGAAAGAATGTTCCCGGTTTTAGCAAAGATGGCTAAGCAAGTGCTATCAATGCCGGTTTCAACGGTTGCCGTGGAACAAGAATTTAGTTCGGCCGGCAATGTCCTAACACAAACTAGAATGAGGTTGAACGCTGAATCTCTTGAGATGCTTATATGCTACCACGATTGGTTAAAAGCAGCTCGTAGAGCTCAAGAAATTGACATCACCCCATCCCAACACTTTATGGATGAATCTACAACCGAGGGTGGCTCTACCTATGCCGGAGATTCCGATTAAAAACAATTATAGTTCCTATTTAATTTTCAAATGTAGTTCCTATTTCATTTCAAATAAAAGCACTTGAAGTTTGTTTTTTAATACTTGTATACAACTATAAAGTATAAAATATAAATTAAAAAAAAATATATTTAACCGGCCCGGTCCGGCCCGGTGGGTGGCCCGACCCGTGACCCGGGCGGGTGGCCCGGCCCGAACCGGACCCGTCCAACCCTCGGGCCGGTCCCGGGCCCATGTGATACGAACCGGCGGCCCGACCGGGCCCGACCCGGCCCGAATCCATCCATACTTAGGGATGGACCCGGGCCGGTCCGATTCCGGTTCCAGGCCGGGCCCGGGCGGGCTTTTTTTGCAATTCCTTGGGCCCGAAACCGGCCCGGGTTGCTACCGGGTCCGGTTCAATACTTAATTTTTTTTTTGCTTTCTTGTTATCCCCCGACCCCCCCCCCCTCACCCCCACCCCCCAAACCTCCCCAAAACACCCAGCCCAACCCTAGGAAAGGAAAAAAAATTGAAAAAAAATGACCTGGGCCGGTTCGCCCAAAATTGGGCCCGAGCCCGGCCCGCCCGACCCGCCCACACGGGCTAAAAGCCCGGAACCGGCCAATCGGGCCCGGTCCGGTCCGGGCCCGCACAGTAGCGGGCCGGCCTGGTTCCGGGCCGGTTCGTCCCGGCCTAGTCCATCCCTACATATACTATGTTTGATTAGGGGTGGACCGGGTCGGGACTGGGTCCGGGTTGGGAGTGGGTCCGGGTCGGGCCTTGGGCAGTACTGGGTTTGGGAGTTGGAGGTCCGGTAGTCGGTACCGGCCCGGATAGGTTCCGGGTCCGGATTGGGCCTAGCGTCGGGCCCCACCTGGAACCGCCCTCTAAGGTCCCGGTACGATCCAAGAACCGGCCGGTCTCAGAATTTAGGTAAAAAGTGTTGCAGTTACATAAAAATGGATTTTAATGTTGTTGTAATTCACCATTCTACAATAGGCATGGATTCGGGCTGGGTCGGGCCCGGTCGGGCCGCCGGTTTGTGAATGGTGGGCCCGGGACCAGCCCGAGGTACAGGCGATTCCGGTTCGGGCCGCTACTCGTCCGGGTCACGGGTCGGGCCACCCGCCGGGCC